ATATAAAAGAAACAAAAAAAAATAACGTTAGGACTCGAAACTTTTTTCCTACAAATTTGTAAATACTTTCTCATCCATAAAAACATTTCGTTACTACAATCAATAAATGAGAAAAGGGTAACAGAATAAAATCATTAACAAAGTTAAGTTTTTGAATGGTAGGTAAAGAAATTGACGAAGTTATCGTCCAATCAAAAGACAACACATAATAACTCAGATAGATAGATAGATAGATAGATAGATAGATAGATAGATAGATATTAAAAAGAAGAGAAGAGAGGTGCCTCAAAAGTTTTTGGTTGTAATGTGGATTTTTTTAGAAAAAAATATTATGCTTTATTTTCCATAATTTTACTACACGTGTTTCTGGTCTCGTGACCGTCTTCAAGTCTTCATTTTTCCTTATGTTTATCAATGTTAAATATTCTCGATATGAGACATTCTCTGGTTTTATGTTAGTAATCCGAATGTCTTTCTTTCAATAATATATGGAAATCCGGCCTGGTCTTGCTTTCTGTCGACGGGCAGCTGCTCAGTTCGCACCCCACTTGTTCCGATAACACAATCTTCGCACGGCTATGGAATAAGGAGAGTTATACAGCTTTAAAACTGGTTTAGGGATTGGTACCAGTATAATTAATTAATACCACACGGATAAAATATACCATATGTACAGTGCTGTTCGATAAAAGTGATTCACTTGATTTTTTTTACGAAATGTTCTCTTCTGCGATGAAACGAAAGCTAAATTCAAAGGATAAGCGATCTAAAATCCGAAGAAGAAGCGTTGAAAGCTCTTTGAATTTAGCAGTAAGTACTGTCAAGAATCCGTTCAGTATACTGTTCTGGGGATGCTTTTCTTTTCATGGAACTAGTTTCTTAAAACCTATTGAAAAGACCCTCAGGAGCGAGCAGTACAAGAGAATTTTAGTCTTGTCTGCTCCCTTCTGCTGAAAGGGTGCAAATCGACCCCACCAAGTTCATTTTTATGCAGGATAATGCTCCCTGTCACAAATCAAAATTGATGAAGGAATACTTTGATGAGAAGCAGGTGAGTGTTATGACATGGCCGCCCCAATCTCCTGACTTCAACCACATAGAAAACTTATGGAGCATTATAAAGTACAGGCTCTCGAGAAAGCAGTTGAGCAACAAAGAAGATTTGATTGTGAATTTCATATCCGAATGGAATTCAATGCTTGGAAATGAGATTTGCCAGAACCTAATCAAGTCAATGGCAAAAAGGGTTGAAAAGGTTATTCAAAATAAAGGAGGACCCATAGATTATTAGATATTTTGAACTATATTACCTATTATAAATAAATTTTACCTCTATTATTCTTTATTTAAAGCTGTTCGGTTATGTTTCTATTGATTACTAGTTGCAGGAAATAAGTGAGTCACTTTTTGCACAGAGTTTCTCCCTAAATCTTATTTATATCCAAAATTATAATTATCAATAGAATACCTAATGGTGAGTAAACTTTTTTTACTAGGTGGTCGGGAAGGGGTCTTTATATTAGTAAGATTAAAAATTAGTTTGACTCCAAAAACAATAGGCGAAAAAATTTTTAAGTAAAAAAAATCAGGTGAGTCATTTTTATCGAACAGCACTGTATATAACAAGCAAAAAGAGAGAGGGTCTTACTTGTAATATTTCCTAATAGGAAAACAAGCAACTGTATAGTTTTCTCTGTCTGCCCTACCACTGTGAGTTTGTGACGTCTGTCTTCTCTGCGGCTTACATAGCAACTGGTTTAGGTAGACACTTCTTGCTTCACCCGCATGCTAAAAAGCAACTGATGTGGGATTTCTGTGAACAGATGTCACCGGCTGTCATATGATCCTCTGGATTTTGTCTCCAACAAAGGGAAATAATCGCTCTTTATATCATCCCTACAGTACGTAGATGATTAATTACTTTCAAAGAGCAGACGTAAGATTAATATTTAACGACTCATTTTCAAGACTTTACGTTTGGTGTACCAATTAAATATTTAACGGACAGCTGATCACGTGACTTTTCGAGAAAATGAATATGTATTCCTTGTATCGAAACCGTTCCAAAAACATTGGAGTTGAAGATGAGATAATTTATAATTTTAAGAAGGAACAACGTTACCAAATGACTTTCAGTATGTCCGTCATTCGTTCTTTCCTAGAGCTTGCTTTAACTGAATTAATGTATAGAACAAAGATCTGAATTACTTTTAATCCCAATTGAGTTCCCCTACTGAATTAAATCCGTTCAGGAAAGAGTTCATTTTGAAAGCTTTTTATCTCGTCAGATGTATTAGTTCAGCGGAAGAAAATTCTTAAATATAGAGTGTAACGTACTAAAGCGGCTAGATGTTCAGTGCCTGATGGCTGAGCCGATAATGTTACGCCTGTGAAGTCTTCTAATTTGAACAGTTGTGTAACTTGGAGGTCAGAGCGGTGAGGGAATGCGCTTTAGTATTGTAAAGATAGGGGAGAAATTGGTCAGGCTACGGTTTTAATCACAATGACATATTTGCTGGGTATTGATGCAAGCACTTCAAAAGGCATGTTAATAAGTGCCGCATAGAATTGCACAAAGACTCGTTTGTTCGATCAAGATAACGTATGGCTATTGCGAGAAGAGTTTTATTCATTCATACATTTGTTGTTATTGTCATGAATACTCAATCTAACTATTCATGGAAATTTAAATTAACGCTGTTGCCTTTTCATCGATTCTGCATCGGAAGCAGAAGTGAAAGAGACATAAAGATAAATTATGTAGGAATTGTCGTTAAATTTCAGGCCAATAATTTTCACTTATCTATCTATCTATTTCTTTGTTAATATTTCTTTCTTTCTTTCCTGCTCGTTATCTATCTATCTATCTATCTATCTATCTATCTATCTATCTATCTATTCCCTTCTTTCTTTCTTTCTTTCTTTCTTTCTTTCTTTCCTGCTCGTTATCTATCTATCTATCTATCTATCTATCTATCTATCTATCTATCTATTTCTTAGTTAATATTTCTTTCTTTCTTTTTTTCTTTCTTTCATACTTGTTATCTATCTATCTATCTATTTCCTTCTTTCTTTCTTTCTTTCCATGCATTTCATCTATCTATCTATCTATCTATCTATCTATCTATCTATCTATCTATTTCTTTGTTAATATTTCTTTCTTTCTTTCTTTCCTGCTCGTTATCTATCTATCTACCTATCTATCTATCTATTCCCTTCTTTCTTTCTTTCTTTCTTTCTTTCTTTCTTTCTTTCTTTCTTTCTTTCTTTCCATGCCTGTTATCTATCTCTCTATCTATCTATCTCAGCCTAGGTCTGTTTGTTTCTTTTTTCTCTCAGCCTAGCTATGAGGGTGTAGGACAAAAAGTTCTCAGTTCGACAATGTTCTGATAATTGCTTATTTGCTCATAACGTGTCTGGTCGAAAAATTATGAATATTTCTTATTTATGTCGATATCTATTTTTATGCCTTCCGGAGATTCGGTGTTTTTTAACGCCGTGAATTCCAACAATTCGGTGTACCTCCCTCAACGCATCAAAGTCGGCGGTTTGGAGGTCAGCGTGATAGTTAGTCTAGGAAATAACATTACTTGTCCGATTTTTTTAAAATCAGTGTATCTCCAAACAAGACCATAATGTCACTAACACGGAAGGGGTTTCCGGAATTGAAAGAGATGTCCGTAAGAGAAAGAGACCGGAAACTCAATACTAAATAAAAAACAAGGGATAATCCTCTACTCCTGTTCAAAAAACAGAAAAAGAATATGAACAAGGAGAAACCTTATGAAATAGATAGCAATGAAGGTCTGATAAACTCCTTACAGTTAAAGAAGAAACTTTAGGCAGCAGAAATGTGGTTCTACAGAAGGATGCTGAGAATACCATGGACTGAACATGTAAGCAAGAACGAAGCTTCATAGAAAATGAAAAGAAAAGGGAGACTTGTAGGAAGAGACAGATGAACTTTCTAGAGCGCATAAAATATGAAAAGAAGGCTTTGAAAATCTGGTATTTACATGGTGGATTGAAAGCAAGTGAGACAAAGGACAAGTAAGAATAAATGGATGGCGAGGCAGGGTTTGGGAGAAATATCAAAAAATGAATATACATTATTAACTACAAGGCACAAGATTTTGCGATCCCAAATTGCCAAATCCCTGCTGGGACACGGTACATAAACAGGATACTTAATATATACCTATATTAGAACGTCGTCATTCGGGCTTAGCCTTCCCTAAAACAGTTCAGTAACATGAAGAGCAACTAACGGACAGATTTAGGCAGCAGAAATGTGGTTCTAAAGAAGGATGCTGAGAATACCATGGATTGAACGTTTAAGTAGCGAGGACGCTTTAAGAAAAATAGAAGAAAAGACTCTTATGCATAAAATTTGAAAGAGACAGTTGAAATTCTTTGGGTATATAATGAAGAAAGGTGGTTTGGAGAACTTCATACTCACAAGACTTATTGAAGGCAAGAGAGACAGCAAAGCCACAGATAACCGACTTAATTGGTGTAAATGGTTTGGTAGAAAAGGGATTGGGAGTGATAGCAAGAAATAAACTTACTAAGGGCTATAAAGGACAGTAAGCTGCGTAGATCAGTGAAAACTTACGTTACTGAAAGAACACGTCATACAGAAGAATACTTAACTGGCAAATCCGTGTAGGTTCCCCAGCACTGGAACAAAATCTGAAATGAGGACTTACAATTCTTCAGATTTCTTCTTTTATTCGCCTTACAGTCTTCGGTATTTTGTCTTGGGCGAAGATTGATTTTTACGGTTTATCAACCCTTTACAGGCTATTTAATGTCAGAAAATATTTTTAGATTATGAGAATTTTTTTAAAATAATAATAATTTAGTGATACAAGTCTTACTAAGTAATCCATAGCTGGGGAGAAGAGATGGATTCATACCTTTTCCACGTGAATATAACGAAAAAAACTAGAACTTGAACTCGGTTCTTCGGTTAACAATTCCGCGCCGATATTATCACTAGCACCTGGTATGCCCTATAGGTCAACCATCTAGATACTGAGCAGGCTCGACGTTGCTTAACTTCGGTGATCATATGGGACCGGTGTTTCAACGTGATATGGTCGTAAGCGTTGGAGAGAGATAGAGGGAGAGGGAGAGAGAGAGGGAGAGAGGGAGAGAGAGAGAAGCCACAAAGAATGCATCTAGGTGAGGAAGAAGGGGATGTGCTATCATCTAGAGTATTGAAAACGTAGTGGGAGTGTTGGACCGTTTTTCGGTCACCATTTAAAAATTAAGCAAAGACAACTCATCACTGTCTGTATTTCCCGCCAGCAACGTTCAAACCACGCCCATACGTTCAAACCACGCCCACTTAATTTAGTTCGGGTCATCGAAGTTCCGAACACAACATCAATTTTCCCGTTTCTTTTTGGCTAGGCTATGCATTCTGAAACAGAAAGTAGAACGAGCTCTAGTGAAACACGGTGGTCTCCTTTCCGTATCGATTGATTCGATTCACAACAGAGATCGCAGTTTGGCAAATATATTTTAAACGTTTCGGTTTCTTTTAAGGAAGTAACAGCTGTCTACTATCACATGGTCATGCCTGTTGATAAAAAGCTTAATTGCTTTTCAGTCTTTTAGGAGTATTCGGCTGTAACCTCCCAATTTCTTTATGTTGTTGTAATGCTGATAATTGTTGTATCAACGCTTCATAAATTGAATAACACAGCCGAATAGTGAATATTCATTTGGATAATAAATATATAATGAATATTTTATGTTACAAGAAGGATATTTTACTTACGTTTTCGTGGGTCAATGCCGATATTGGGTGAATCGATCTCATCACACACCGATTTCAAACGGGAGTTACGAGACTGAACGGAATTGTTCGATTTTCACAAGGTAGACCGAAAGTAGGCTTAGAGTTATTTCACTATTTTTTCAATGTTTTAGATCTACCTTTGCTGAAATGTTCTTTCAGCAAGATGGAGCACTTTCCCATTATGCTTCGGCAGCAAGGGACTACCTTAATCAAACCTTTGAACGGCGCTTGTTCGGAAGAAGGGGTAACATCGAATAGAGCCACGTTCACTTGACCTAACACCAATGGATTTCTTTTTTGGTAGATCGGGATTTGTGTTGTGCTGTAAATATTGCATTGTTGAAGGACATTTTTGAGCAAAAGAGATTAAAATTGCTAAAAAATGTAAGCAAAGTGTTTAACAATTGTATGTAAACAGTTTTAAACAAATATGATTTTTACAAATAAATATAAATGTAATAAAATGTTTTTATAAAACTCAAATTGCATTCCTGTTAAATGTAAGGTTACTTTTGGCCCACCCTGTATAGACGGGAATGAGTAATGATTATGAAAATAAGAGTATAGATAATTCATGATATTTGAACTCATTACTAAAGTTCTGGGTTTTAGAAACGATCACGGCAATTACATTTAAGATTAAAGTAAAAATTATGAGATATAAATAAAAGTTTAATATTTGTTTTACCTTTGATAACCGTCGGTTTCGTTTTAGCATTTCTATATTTTCTAATTTGGTTAAACTATTAGTCATATGAATCATAACTAATATCCGTTTTCGCTTATAAGTAGTTTTTATTCAATTAAATTTTTACGATTAATTCCAGTTACTTTTTTGAAAATTATCAAACAAGATGTTGATAGATTTTTTAATAAAACTCCGCTGGTTTTGATGTGAATATGTTACCGATAAACTCTTGAATCGAATTTAATTAAAAGTTACTGTATCAAAGCTTTTTGCAGCGGACATAAACGGTATTATTCGATCGGTGGAAATGCAGATGAATATTTTTCGTGCATTATTTATGCGGCATGCGACAATTCGTTGCCATTGGGAACAACAGCATTTTTCTTTTGACGAATGCCGGGCGCTTTTCGACCAGACTGTTATGAACTCATTGCAGTTTTTGAACGTATAAATATGTATTGTATTCTTCTGTTACGTCTAATGAACTCTAAATGAATAATTCTTGCTAATCCCCTCCCCAACGGACAGGATTACCTTTTTTTACGATAGAGAACAGCTTTTATGGTTGTTAAGAGAGATTTATCCCTGTCAGTCTACTGTATTTTTCATTGAACATTGAAGTAGATAACTAATGTTTCATCGCCTGAAATATAGGGAACGCTTAGTTACGATGATACATTCGCCATTACAATTGATTCCCCAAAACGCAAAATATTACTGACTCAACCTCATATGTGAGAACTAAAAAGCATCTAGTATTTAATTACTCTCGGTAAATTAATTTCGGAATGAAAATATAAATATAAGTGAAGTTCTCAGAAGTTTTTGCAATCATTTCACCACAATTAAGATTATAAAACCATTTGGACGCAAGGGGTTACTAAATTTTCAGGAATATAAGAAAATAAGCAACAGTTAGAGAAAGAGAACAATAAAAGAATAGGAATTAAGAAGACATAAAGATAACGATAGACATTACATTTAAATTTTTGAAGCTCAAAGTTGATTGGAAAGCAAGAAGCCGGAAAAAATTTCACAAACAAGAAGCGCGATAGAAGAAACTGTTAGCATAGAACCTACGGTTGCATCTCACCACTTCAACTGTATACTGACCAATTTAAAACTATGCTTATGTATTTGTTCGCTCTTTGTAATATATTTTCTTTATTATGATTGTTAATTTTTATAATTTATGCATACTACCAAAGATTACATTTTCTGTTCCGTTGTTTCTTTTTTTTTAAACATTTTACCTCAAGCAAGGCAATAAAGCCCCTAGGACGCAAGAGTGATAGAAAATATTTGACAAAAATCTACTATTAAAGAAAGAGGGCAATAAAAGAACAAGATTTCAGAAGACGATAACGATCGGCATTGCATTTAAATTTTTGAAGATCAAACTTGACTGAGAAGCAAGAAGCAAGAAGAGATATCCCACAAGCGAGAAGTGCGATAGAATAACGTTTTATCATAAAACTTACGGCTACATCTAACCACTTCAACTGTATATTGATGTGACCTTACCACCAATTTAAAACTATGCTTAAATTCATAAAATCTAGGTACGATGGAGTTGATTTCATCAGAAAAATTACCATGAAAATATTTATAGAAAAGTTAGATGGAAATTACGTTACAGTTATGGGAAACGGACTGAAGCCGAGATGCCAGGTCAAGACCAATAACTTTCCAGATTGTTCTTTCGATTTTGTCAAGAATCTTTAAATATACAGCAGAAGCACCAGACCAGATGTGGTAGCAATATTTAACGCGAGGTCTAATGGTAGACAATATAGATATGTAAGATAGATTATGGCGAGAAAAATTGTCTAGCACAACATAGTGGACCTTCTTTTTTTCTTTTTTGCTGCAGAGAGAGAGAGAGATAAGTTTGATAAACCATTGTTCCTCATTATGTGTCCAAGAGATTTAGGCTCCCTCTTTCTGATTCTCAGAAGTGTGAGTATCTTGTCTTGCTAGTAGATTACGGATATTACTTATGGGATGCCAAGATAGCATGTATTGTTATCATTTAGTTCTTTTACAAGTGTGACTGTTATGTTATTAGGTTTCGGACATTACTTATGGGATGGACTGATAGACTGATAGAATGCATTGTTATCATTAATTATTTCAGAAGTTTGTATATTTTATCTTGCTATTAGATTTCGGACATTGCATATGGTATGGTCTGAGAGCATGTATCGTTATAATTAAATTATTTCAGGAGTTTGACTATTTTGATTGGCTATAAGATTTCAGACATAACTAATTTTATGGCCTGATAACATGTATTCTTTTTATTCAATTTTTTTAGAAGTGTGACAATTTTGACATGCAATTAGATTTCCATATTACTTATCGGATGGTCTGATAGTAGGCATTGAAATCATTTAATTATTTTAAAAGTGTGAGAATTTTTTATTGTTATTAGATTTCGGAAACTACATAAGGGTAGGGCTGATAGCATGCATCGTTATCATTTAATTATCTTAGAAGTGTGACTATCTTGTAGTCCTATAAAATATCGACCATTACTTATAGAATCGCCTGATATCATGTCCAATTATTTAATCATTTTAGAAGTAACTTGTGGGGTAGTTAATGGTGTTGGTTAGAAAAGAATCAGAAGGGTTTTTGGTCAAGGTTGCGTTTTTACATTAACACTCCACTTTAAATTTGTAAAGAAAACACGAAAATGAAAGACGAGAGATCAATGAAAATCAACAAGTAAACATGTATTGAAACAAGCATATACATATAATTCCGTTAACAACAATAAAGATTAAGTCACACGAAGTGGTTTTACCTTGCATTGTGTGAAAAACAAATGTATGTTGTAATAATGTCTCTTGTTTAAATTTGTTGGTTGTATTAGAATGATTGATGTTTGAGTTTAAAAGTTGAAATACTTGTGCAGAAGAATGATGTAGTTCGAATAGTTCACTTGGCTTGAAAACAAACAGTACACTGTGTTGTGTGAGTGTAGTTTATATCTGTGTGTGTTCGTGTGTAGAAAATTGAATATACACGTACGTGGTTTAGGTTGTGGAAATTTATAATCTACTGAAGTTATTTCTTTAATTTCTACTTTTATAGATGTAAGGTGGCTCCAGGAACGAGCGCGGGAAGGATATTGAAGAAAGTGTCATTTAATGTGATTGGCCAAAAATCGAGCAAACGTTGATTTTTTTTTTCTATAGCTAGTTTGGTGAAACAAAAACACGAGAAATTTTTATGTGGCTCGTGCGATGAGTAAATTGTCTGTACAAAAGGTATTGTTTATTTTCCGTCCAATTACTGTTGAGTAATTTGTGGGCGTGGTGTACGTAGGCGTCCACTACAAACTATTTTGTTTAGATATTAGAATTCGAATATTAATTATGGGATGGCCTGATAACATGTATTGTTCTCATTTAATTATTTTAGAGGGGTGATTATTTGGTTTTATTACTATATTTCTGACGTTACTTATAGGATATATCTAATAGCATGCATTGTCATTTCATTATTTTAGAAATGTAATTGTTTAGATATGTGGTTATATTATCTATGGGATCGTCTGATAGCATGTAAAGTTATCATTAAAATATTTTAGAAGAGCGATTTTT